TTGGCATCACAGGGAATAAAAAGACAGTTGCAGCGAAGAAAATTTTCTTTTCGACGAAGGCATCATCTAGGCTGTACATTCGTGTATTTATGTCATATACAAAAAGCATACAGGGAATGGACAATTCATCAAATTTTAAAGGTTCGTGCCCCTAAGCAGAAAGAGGAACTTAATATACGCTCTTTCCTCGAGGATTCGGAAGATATGCAGCGAGGAATTGATTGAAGAAGAACTGCGTAATCTCCGAAAAACCCTGGTGGAAAACGGTTTCCCGCCCAGGTTCATAGACAAAAATCTCAAATCTAAGAAGACTTCAGAACAAGTCCAATCCGTTCCAAAGAAAATACTTCAGCTTAATCTAGAATTCAAAGATGATATTGAAGCAGAAATCCTTCGCAAACGCCTCTCCAAATCGCTAAGGAAAACATACTTCACCGCAAGCCTACGACTGACGTTTTCCTGCAAGAAACTGTTCAACCAGAACGCGAAAGACAAACTGTCGCATTGAGCCACCTCAACGTGCATATACCAGTTTACTTGCTCTTGTGGAGCTGAGTACATCGGCCGTACCATGCGCCGACTTGGAAAACGCGCTCGTGAACACTGCCCAGCCTGGCTAGTAAATGAAGACACAAAACGTGTATACAGTTCAGTGACAGAACATCTGGTCAACTCAGGAAATTCAGCGGCTTTCGAAAAGTCCTTCAAAGTAATATACAAGATTCAATCAAACTTACCAAAGGGAGTGAAATCAAGACATCGGGGTATAGCTGAGGCGTTAGCTATCCAAAAGCTCAAACCCACACTTTGTATCCAAAAGAAATACGTCCAACCCCTGTCCATGCCATGGCCATCATAAACAGGTAAATTTTTTTAATAATGACCATCCCATCGCCTTTCTTATCTAAACTTCCTGTTTGTTCATGTTATTTTAAGTTTTTCTTAATCCTTGTCTACACTACCATATTTTCATATCCACACTTCCTCTTTATTTTGCCATTTTACTATTTCTACATATTTAATCCCTGATTGCATAAACAGTTATTCATCACATTAGTTTCTTATCCAAGCATCCTGTATATTTTGTTATTTCTACATTTCTAACCCCCAATTGCACAATGTCAATCTTCTTAGTTATTATGCTACTTTGTTTAAGTTTTACCCGCCCCCCTGTTTATTATGGCATTCTAATTCCTTATTGTAATTTTTATTAATTTGACTCTTAACCGGAAATTATTCTGGAACTTTCCCATCCATTTGATATAAATACACGAATTTACAGCCTAGATGATGACTTCGTCGAAAAGAAAATTTTCTTCGCTGCAACTGTCTTTTTATTCCCTATGATCAAACGTGTATATTCCGAAGTTTGGTATCGACAGTTATCAATCACAAATTCATTTGAAATAAGAATACATAAAGATGATATTGGCAAAATGATAACCTCCCGCTCAAAGTAGTCTCAATTTCGAAAGCCTGATGGTGGATAGGATACAAGAGAAATGATAAATGGACAAATCATACGGATTTCGAGATGAGTAAACAGAAAGGTGAGATATAGAAGAAAACCCCCCATTTAAATATTTAGGCAGCAGAAGGATTCAACGAAGAAGTATTTACTCTTCAATTAGATTCTCATCTCCTGCTCTACTCTGATGTATATATATGTATAGCATTTTTAGTACAGTACACAACAGTTCATCAATCAAGTATCTTTGTTTTTTTATTCCTTCACGTTCCCCAGTGGAACATAGGGCTTAAAGCTAGAGGCTTGAAGTTTCTTTAGCAGTGTTTATTTTTACAGGATGAGGTTGCTAGCCTCATGCCCAACCTTTCCCCCTTACCACCTTTATTTCTGGCTTAGCGAGGTAAAGGAGTGCGTCGGCAGGGGATCGAACCCCGGACCATGTGCATGGTCGGCGAGCATCCTAACTACTATGCCACCGACGCACTAGCTATTTGTTGGTTAACAGTAATTAGCCAGTATCAACATGTCAATGGGGTGATATTTAAGGAAGCAAATTAATACACACACTTGAGGGGTAGAAATGATTACTACAAGTGGATGCTCAATGCACCATTTTGGTAAAATCGAAGAGTTATTCAGGAATAAGCGAGCGTTCAAGTTGAAAAAGTCACAGCTAACTAAAGAAAAAAATTGGACTATGATAACTTCTAATTAAAAAAGAAATTGACTGAAAAAACTATAAAATAATTTAGACGATTGTAAATTACAAAAGGCTCAGTGGAAATCGAAGTGGAACGGTTTAAACATTCATGTAATGATGCCCAAGTTATGGATATTGATTATACGAATCTATAATGAACATGATGGCATCACTTCTTCAGGCGGATGCCCATGCCTTCAGTTATGTGTAGAAGACGAATTTGTAAAAGAAATTTAACACTAGTAGAGATGCGATAAATAAATTTAAATGCAGCATTACCATCAACAGTAGGCTGACTGCATACAAGGTGTGCTAAAACAGGGCCAGGAATAAGTTTTAGTCACTAGCTTCACCATGCGGGCGCTGGAAAATTTTTCGAAGAAATCAGAAGATACAAGTGCTAGTAATGTGTGAGGAGAGTATTTGGAATGGAAATGGACTATCGAATTTGTTAACTGGGCAGTCAATAATCAATAATGCTCTGGTCAACTGGACTACAAGGACGAGCACATCGAGAGATGTCAGCAACAGCCGCCACTGCTCTTATGTAGTCGGAATCAGTCTCATCCAGGATGTATCATACAGCAAGATTTAAGTGAGAATGCAGGGAAGGAGATTACAGTTTTCCAATTCTACGAACAGTGCATATCAAGAGAAGAAGTACGAAAATCAGAACAAGCGATTCAGTGAATAGTTCTGTTTCAGCGAATCCATCATCAAGCTGTCCAAACCTTTATGTATTTATATATGGCTTTTGATGTTAACGTGAACTCTCACAAACATAATTGGCCATGCACTCTAAAATATAGTTCGCGAAATGTGTAAATTTCAAGAGAGTGTAGGAATGGTAAGATCAGTGAGCAGTTGAAACATCGCACATCAAAGTGATAACTGTTATATGACAACATTGGAAAAATCATTTTGGGTCAAATAAACCCAGGTGTCAAGTGAGATAATACCGGAAGTTGTTCAGAGTAAAATTATTCACGATAGTAATAACAATAGACATAATATGGGAGGGATATGCAAATCGAATAGAGGAAGAGAGAGAAAAATTAGTGGCACCAGAGTGTGGATGGCGATTATCACACTTCGTTGCCAAGAGACTCCTCACTGAATCACTTGTCTCCCAAGAAGCTATAATTGCATAGGGAACTGTGATCATTACTGAACAAAACGCCAAATGGTGACATCAAAATCCCAATGGATGACATGAGTGTCAGCTGAAATGGGAGCAGGCAACAATGCAGGCAGAGAATGCCTAATATAATCCTCATTATCCTGGAGAGGTTAACGGATGCTGTAGATGCCAGGCTCGAACCGTATCATACTGGATTAAGGATCAAATCTCAGCTCTTCACGACATCATGGAACACAGCATAGAATGACAGTGAAATCTCTAACTGAACTTTATACACTCTGATGGGGCGTTGGGTGAGGTGGACCATGAAACCTCTTCAACACTGAAGAGTGCAGTGACACAAACATTCATCAATCCCATTCAGTAGCAACATGACGATGTCTCATGCCAGGTGATTCACACAGGAAAGCTCAACAAAGCTGTTGAAGTGAGAACAGGATTGAATAAGACAAAACTGCCTACTGGGAGTGGTGACACTCGTGATCGTGGTCGACTGGATCATGCGAAAGACCGTATGTGGGAGGCAAGAAGACTGAAACACGTTGGATAGGGAAGAAGACTCCAGACGACTAGGACCTCACCGATGATTTGCGTCTAGTGTCACATAAACTTGTAAGTGTTGTAGTAGGGACATTCTGACTCGCTGAAATGGATGAATATCTGACAGTGGAGTACTGAATAGCATCAAACCTTCATCCCATATTCCACTGCCAACCACCAATGAACAAATAACACCAATGAAATAAACAGTACTCCTATGAAATACCCTGTGATCATTTATCATCATCACTCTGAACAACCTGAACAACCGTGTGTCATTCATCACCAATCAGTTTACATCTCCATATTTTGTTAGTATGAGTTCATTTATCATCGCTCATTTCCACTTTCTTCCTGATGGCAGGCCACCAGCTTGAGAAATTCTATGCATCACCCACCGTTTCATATTACATAAAACGATTAGCTTGTGAGCAGTGAAATGAATGTGTAGAGGACAAAGCTCTAGAATAAGAGATATGAAAAGGTGAATACAAACTGAAGTGATGAATCAAGATTTGTACTCTTCCACAAATCACTGTAGGAATGTGACCTGAAATGAATTTGTCACAAAATAACAGATAAACTAATAGCTTGCCAACGAGAATCGGATCACTGTAATCAATGCAACAAGAGTGGCTGGCATACCTCATCACATCACAGAGTTTTGTTTCACCGTAATGGGTAGTATAGAGGCTTGTTCTCTGTTTCAGTGGGCGCACTCAAATAACACATAGTTAGTTAAACGTGAATACTCAGTAAAATGTTGAACCAACATTTGTACTTTTCCATATAACAAACATAATGCTTACCTGATCACATATACGCTGATCGCAGAAGGCTCAGTGTCTCTGAGAAAAATATTTTTCACATAAACACCATAATGAAAGGAATCTATTAATTAGTAAGGATAAGAATTCACTGCATCACCTTAACTTGACCCATTCATTCACTTTGTTCAATTTAAGGTGAATTTGTAATCTTCTTTCCACCGTCGTAAAGTATATAAGCGTCAAACTATCTCCACACTGCTACCTGGATTAAGAAAGTGAGAAAATGAAGGCAGCTGTGCGAAATGTATTTATCTGCTCTCTGGTACGTTCTCTAATTGTCTTAGACAATATTTTGATCCATGTTTGTGTTTGCTACCGTAGATGACAGCACTTCTGTTGTGTCACCTAACTGAATGTAAACCAAGTGGAAGTCATGGGAACTGTAACATTCAGAAACAATATGAATTATGCGTTACTAAGACTAAAGATGGCATACTTAATCGTGAGTCCAGTGTATTTTACTTTGAAATCGAAATGATGCGTAGTGATATTTTGAAAAGATTTGTGCATATATTTGTGTAGAGAGTGATGACCGCAGACGACAAGGGGATGTGCAACTGTGCAGGAGTCAACCCCACAGCCGCCTGGTTAGTGGTTGGACGCTGTGATATCAGAATTACGAGGCACAAGTGCTAAGCATACTGTGGTTATGGGTGATATCTCTCAGTCACCAGTGTGTGCGAAATATCTCCCTCTCTCTTTCGAATTATATATATATATATTCATAAATTTATATTCAAACATAAGTATGAATACACTTACAAGTTATCTGGACGAAGCGACATCGTTTCTCAGGGAAAAGCCAGTGACATTAACAGACTTCATATTGTCCAAATGGAACTTCGCCCTTCTCTGCTCATCGAACAACATATAAACAGATAAGATTTCCTTCATCTTACTACTGCGATGAAATGTTGAAATGTTTTCCGAATGTGATGAAATCGTTCTCGCCTCCAAAACCATTTATACGCAATATAGTAGTAGTGGTGTAGATCTGTGCCCCCTTAATCGTATTTTACCATCTGCTCCATTCTTGTGTGATTCAAACCTTCCATGACTATCTGTATGTTGGTTGATTCCTTCTGTTGATCTCCTTGCCATCTCACCACCTTCAGTAGCATTAGTGAACGCATTATTGGAATTACAATTTTCAACGGAATGGACACATCAGACATTTGAAAATAATATTTGATAGTAATGATTGGTGTTTCATATTAACTAACCTGGTGTGATCAGGAAGGAAATGACGAACTGACGTCATCATCACTACCAGTAAAAGTCAATGCAAATTTTACAATGCACAGTCAGTTACCTTTTATAAACGTTGCTCATTATTAATACTTCTCGAAGAAGATGTTTTGGGTATTAATATGCATATTACAACCAGCTAGAATCATTCATCTCTCCTAAAATGCAGTCATTGTATTTTTTCTGTTTTGCTTCTACAGTGATTCCCGATTTGGATGTGTCCTCTATGAAGTATGCTGTAAATGCGGACAACAATGGTTTCATGAGAGAATGCCTGAAACACAAAGCTTGCGCAGTGGAAACATTCTTGTGTTTCTTCGGTGAGCTAGTTAAACCTGAGTGGGCAGATTGTTTGAGTAAAGAGAAATTACAAGTGATAAAGGACTTCTATGAACATTTGAAAGCCACGGGAAACACACCAATGGAACTGGATCTCGGAAAATTTGATAATTTTCATCAATTCAAATAACATCCATTTGTGTAGCCTTAAATTCTGCGGATATCTTCAATATCTCTAACTCTTTCTTTTTTTCTCTCTCTCTCCCTGAATATGTTTCATTCACACACATGTACGTAGAATGTGTTGACATATTAATGTGAGTGTACAACTTGGCATATTCCCTTGAAAGACTACTGATTTTCTTATTTAAACAAGTGAATGTACGATGTGGTGATGTGATGTCATTTCTAATATTTCCGAAAACTTGTTTTTCTGTGTACCTGATTTTCAGCCATCCCTCCAGCATCCTCCATATTTAATTACTTATTACCCTCTTCAGTGTGTATTCCAGTTTGGTTTGTGTAAGGTGAAATACAGTCAATGATTTCATATCGTTTTATTTTCTCTTGTCAATTAGCTGGAAGTAATAAGTGTTGAAATTCGCTGCCAGTGCATTGGGAATGGTGTCAATATCATTCGATTGTTGAGTATTTATTTTTCGTCATGCAACTGAAACGTCGTCTTTGTAAACCGAAATCTTCATCATAAAGCATAATCTGGAATTTGTTGCTGTAGTACATTCCGATGATGTTTGTATTATGGAGTATATTTCTTCACCGAATGAGACGATATCACTCGGTTATACACAGTGTATACAGCATGTTCTTCGCCGTAGTTTGGGCTGATTATTTATCTCAGACGGTTGGACAGTCCGTACACATCACACATCCGAACACAATACCTCATCACTTTTGTCTTGTTCGATGTTATACAACTACCAAATAGTCTGAGTTTACGTCTTTCAAGCGAGTTACAAACTACATTTTATAATCTACAACGGTGCGATTTCGGGTTGGTGTTGACTAGATCGTCTCATTCGAATCAGGTTTATGATGTTGACGCACGATTCACTAATGAATATCTGTCACTGTGTGGACCGGAGTTACACACTTCTCGTTTCAGTGGAGATAGTTTGTGAATGATGAATAGTAGAGCTAGAAATCTCCTCATATCGATTTCATTTTGAGGTGTTATCGCCAGATGGTATGATACAGTAATTCGCATCTGCGTGCACGTTGGTATATACCAGTGACTGGTAGTAGTCATTGCCTGTCTCTCATATCGACGAGTAGTGTTTCTTTCAGTGCGATCTCGTGTGATATCTAGAAATTCTATTCTGTATTCTCTGGCTTTAGCACTAGGTGAAGTTGGCTTTCACAGTGATAAGACCTAGATAAACACAATGAGGAATAATAAATAGATGACTCGTCTTCGCTGTAGACATGTACTCCTGAACATTCTCTGTCACAAGAGCCTTCTGAGTGAACAAATCTTGATGTGTATCGTCAGTAAAAACACTTTCCGAGAAATGGATCATTCAGCATCGAGCATCCTTCATTCAGGTAGCTTAACTTACAACCGATATCCGACCATCAAACCATCTGGTGTATTGGAAGTCATGACAGTCAATTCACCTGGAGGTTAGGACGAAACTCATTAGTACTCACCAACAACTGATATGCACAACACAAACACCACTGAAGTGAACGATTCGCATGAATCCATCTGGTTGGCTTGTCTTTCTTGAGATAAAATCAGTCAAATCTGGCATACAAGAGAAAACACACACGGACACAGACACACACACAAACCTCAGATCAGTGAAGGGTTAAAGTGATAATACAACTCACTTGACGTAAACGGCTTCACTAATTCTAATTACCGAGACCGACTCGTTGTGTTCTGAGTGTAGGAAAGCAATCCCCACCTCCTAATGTTTACCTGACGGAACTTCCTTGAGACACACACGCAGACACAAAACGATCCAAAGACAGTCAAATGACGATTATTTTCGAATAAATTGCGGCACTCTCAAGCAACAATAACATCAAAAACTCACAATCACCTGAATAGTGGCGTTAGGCGGCTACACAGTGAATGTGATTCTCCGAGTACAAACAAAATACTCAGAATCCAGTGGAGTATTCCCGAATGGGTGGGATCTGAAATTCTCTTCAAAAGAACCACACACACACACACACACACCAACTCTACCCAAGGACAGTCTAAGAGATGAATCATTTTCATTCACTCAAACACTCATTCACTTCGTGAAACAACACAGCATCAGTGTATGAACAGCTTCAAAGGAAAGTATTAACATTATAGGTTGAACAGAGAAACAGATGAACAATAAGAATCAAATGAATATGCGATATGCGAATATCGAAATAAGGATGTACAAACAGTTCAGGGAGTAAACGGATGATAATTCCATAGTTATCTGAAACACCCAATTAAGCGTGGAATATTGTGATTAGACGGCTCACGAGAGATTTTTCAAACAATGATTCCGTCGCAACACAATCGATATTTCGTGTATCGTTCATATTCTAACACCGGAACAAGTCAGTAATTCATGTGGCTGACAGAATTGCACAAAACGCTTTCAAACATAGATGATTAAAACAATCAGTGTCTTTGATAAATTTCAATAAGGCATTTAGAAGACAAATTTCGCGAGATGATATCCTCATTTCGTATTTTCTTTACAACCGCTTTACAACTAAGATGGGTAACAATCATAAAATACAGTGCATGACAATTACTCAGTTATATAAGAAAACTGAGTAATTGTCATGCACTTTCTTTCAGTGTATTTAACCATGTTAGTTGTTATGCAGATGTGAAGACACATAGATGACTCAAATTACACTGTCTAGTTTCACTGAACACAAACACCACATTCACTCGATACGCGCTGTACACACGCATTTCATGCAGTTGACGCAGAACAACCAGTACGTTGAGAAAGACGACGTGGACTACTAAGTCAACTAGCATACAGACAGTCAATCGAAAATTGTAGGCTGCCACATACTGACCAATAAACCACAGATTGATGGATAAAAATAAGTAATAATGCCTTATGTTCGGTGAAACGGTAGACAAATTTTGACAAACCTCACTGACTCAATTCCAGTGTGTTGACAATCAGACATTGTGCACATGAAATCTGTCGAAATCAGTCATCCACACTGTCCAACAAAGTATGCGTTCTCACATGGCAGAATTCGTCAGGCGGTGACGATCATGTCACACTGTCACCAAAGTTCACTACGATAACAATATGAGTGAGAAGTGCACTAACCAGACACATTGTCACCTCATCAGTCGTATTCGTGATCTCAACCGTATCTGTGCAATAACATGATATCTAGTGTTGATGATGCACATGCATATTCTCCGCGTAGCTATTGTCCAAATCACGCGTATTCAGAGCATGGATTTGCGCACAGATAGATATCCGACCATTGTTTGTTGTTTCGCACAAAGTCTCACTCCTCATTTCTGATCTTCTTTGGTAGTCCCCATGCCTGCCTGAGAAACAGTCTGCAGGTGGCAATACACTACGCATATTCTCACCAAAGCGTCTGTCTCATACAGAATCGATGACACGGGTTAGTAATTCAGAATACCATTAAACTGCATACACTGAAATATGACTTGATTCTTTCCAATCGAGTTGAGTGCAACAAACCGATCAGCACATTTTTGCTGAGGTTATGTTAATTCTCATTTTTCTTCAATCCTATCTCATTTGTAACATTTTGAAATAATTTGGGCATTGGGTATATGATATTCATCATAACGAAATTTTTGTATATCCCAATGAATTATTTTATCTCACTATCTATTAGTATCCCCATAAGCGAAAGTTTTGATATCATATCTGTGCGTCGGTGGCACAGCGGTCATGACTCTCGCCGATCATGCACATGGTCCGGGGTTCGATCCCCTGCCGACGCATACCTGATATCTATGGTTGGCCCGC